GAGACAGGAGGCAGCACGGACACTCGCCATGTTGTTGGTTGAGGGGCCGATTCAGAGCCCGAGCGGAGGATAAGATATTCCGTCGCAATGGACTAAACCACTCTCTAAAAACGGGGGTAACACTTATGTAGCACCGAATTGCTGTGCTTTAAAACAGTTTTTACGTGATAAAACTGCAAAATGGTGTAATTAATCGCCATATTGAATCTAAATAAATACATACAGATCTTAATTTTCACACTTAATGCGATTTTGATACAGGCGACTTCCCACGAATACCCCGGTCAATATGGATGGACTGCTAAAGCGTAAAATTGTATAACTAGGGTGTGCAGGAACAAATGTATAAGTGACCTAGACTTTTCATTCAAGGTGAGACACAGCACCGTATATACACAACAAACTCGCCCCGAATTGTAGTCGGACTTATACAATTATTATGTCCCATGTTATTTTTGTGTTAAATACTCTAACGAGCATGAGCCAGCAAGCTAAATGTTAGCTAGCATGTTAGCTTATAGCTAGCTTTGTTTGTGGTTAGCTGGGCTGTCAAACTTCCAAGTCATGTCAGGCAGGTGTTGTTGTTGCCAGTCGGTGTTTTGGTAAATGCTAACAAGCTAATCACTAACGATCGTTCACATCTTGTGCTTTATTTGCAACATTATTTCACCAATGCCACACAGACTGTCCAGACACCTTAATGTTTTTAAATAGCTGAATAGTGAATCCAATGCTGTCTCCTTCTGGTTAGCTTCAAATACAATGGACTCTCAGATCTTCGTTGTGTAAGAGGCTTGTCATTAAAATAATTACGTAATGTTGTTTATAGCTAAGCCACCTTATAGCTGCTATGGCTGCTAACATTTATGTACAGGCACCACCATGTATGAGAGACCTGTGATGACTGCAGTATCAGTGTGTGACTGAGAAGCCACTGCTACCTCCCTGCTCTCTGTGTTGCAGCATGTAAACATTTACCATAATGGAAATTCACACACTTATATATTTTGGTCTCCTCTGTGTGCGCAGCCTCCATGAATAACTTAAATGACCCCCCCAGATGGAACATCCAACCAGACCCCAGAGGAAGGGGGGCGGGGGCCGGTGATGGCAACCAATGGAACTACGCCCTGCTGGTCCCCATGCTGGGGCTGGCTGCGTTTCGTAAGTTGCTTACATCTGTCTAGGAGTGTGTCTGTTGTGAGGTAACACACGTGGGAGAACAGCATTTGAGTTGTTCAATGTATAGTCAATGAATGTACTCTTGCAAAGCTGGCTGAGTTTAGGTGATATCCACACTTTACCTCTGAAATGTGTGTGTGTGTGTGTGTGTGTGTGTGTGTGTGGGGGGGGGGGGGGGGGGGGGGGGGGGGGTTGCTTTCATATGTCCTATTAGTACGTAGGGGAGGACTCTGAACAAACTGTTATCCAATGTGGAAGATCCTGACCACCCTCTCCACCTACTAGACAGACAGCAGAGCTATTTCTCTGGCAGACTTGTTATGCCTCGCTGTCGCAAGGACCAACACAGGAAATCTATCCTGCCCAAAGCAATAGTTCTGTACAGCACCTCACCTCTGTCTAACAGAGAACAGTCAGCTTTATAGTTTTCTTTTCCAGCAAAACTCCACTCTGTTTTGCTCTTCCATAACCTCCCACAAAGCACATTTGCACATTTATTCTCCAAAATTACAGCACTGCATTCTTAAAACTAATACTTGAACAAATTTGCACAGTGGTTTAATGCACGTACTGGTCATATGTTATCCCATGGATATATTTAAAGTTTTAGTGTTTGTATTTCAGTATATTTATAGTGTGTTATAGCTGTCCAGCCATCTATCAGATAAAACCATATCCTCCTCCTTCAGAAGTTTTAATTACCACCTACCTGGGTTGGGCAGTATGACTAAAAAAACTATTTGGATATTTAACTGGAGACTTTGTTAACAAGTAATTAAATGCAGTTTTTATGTGGACACGGCATCAAGTTCACTATACACAGACAATTATCTGACCTATAAAAGACAGTGTAGATTTTGTTAGGGACTACATTATTATGCTGCTATGCTTATCTTTCAAATGCTTGGTCATTTTTATTCTTAGGTGATGCCATTACCATGTTAACTGCACAAACTTTCTCAAACTTAAGACACAAGCAGATGTTACAGGACTGTTTCAATCAGTCTGCACTTCAGGAAATGGTTATGGTTGAGAAACGTGTTTGAGTTTAAAAATCATGGCAGCGTATCTTAAATGTCTTAAAAATGTCTCTCTCTCATGATGCTTTCAGGTTGGATCTGGACCAGGGAGTCTCAGAGGGAGATCCAGCAGGTCAAAGCCAAGTATGACAAGGATATTTCCATAATAAAAAGCGAGATGGAGGCAAAGTACCGAGAGACACTGACTGAAAGGCGCAGGGCAGCAGCTACATTAGAGCTGGAACTGGAGAAGGAGAGACAGAGGGTCAAAGGCTACAAGCAGGCCCTGGTCTCACAGAGCCATCAGCTGATGGAAGAAAGGAAACAGTTGCATCAGGTAAAATCTTGTCATATAATTCTGCTATCGTGCATGTTTCCCTTTGAACCTCCTCAAACCAAAAACACTGTCTTCCCCTTTACGAGGAGCGTGAGGCCTTGGAGGAGGAGAAGCAAAGGCTGGTAAAGACCGGCGCTGCAGGGGCTGTGCTGCATCACGCCCTGGAACGAGAGAACAACTGGTACCAGCGAGCCACCACCACTCTGAAGGAGCTAGAGGCTCAGCTTGTGGAGCGCCAGAATGCCTACTGTTCCCTCATCCAACCTCGTGATCAGCGGCTGGAGATGGAGAAGAACATGCTGCTTAAGGTCGTCAAAGACCCCATCGGGGCAGAACTGAATCTAGAGTCCGATCTGAAGGATATTTTTAAGAGAGATAAGCACTGTGCGGACCTGCTAAACATGGACAAGAGGAAGAACGGCAGCCTCATGTGGGTGTACCTCAAGTACTGGCAGCTGCAGGTCACTGTCCAGAAACACAAGAGGGCAGAAGAGGCGATATTAGGAGGGAACTTGCACTCTCACACAAAGTGACAAACACAAGCTGGTGTTTTTCACTTGACTTTGAAGAATGTTGAAAGTATGTGGCTCAGAGATGGAAAATGCATGTATTTGTCACTCTGTCTTTATCTTTACTTGACAGGGATGTTATGGAAATGCACAACAACAAGATCATGTTCAACATCTGAAAGTTCCTCCCTTGATCTCAGAGTTTTGAAGAAGAAAAAAATATTTTGTCAGGTTTTGAGCATGCTGAAATACATCATCACCATAACTTCCCCAACTATGACTCATTAGCTTTAAATTAGCTGCGTAAAAAATGTATAATGATAAAAATGCACTAGGATCATTCAGTTGATATCCATATTGGATACATAACTGATTTAAATACTTAGAGATGTATTTTTTTATAAGTTAGCCCCTTGGGAAATTTTGTCAGAATACTTGTGTCAATTTAAGTCACATTCTCTGAGTGCCATGAATTACTGCTTGGAGCGTATATTGTATGTCTGGAATTTTTTGTTTCTCCACCTCAAGTATGAATTTAGGGTTCCCATTAACTGTTCTCAGTGTGATGTGATAATACAGATCTATTTGTTGCTGTAAGTGTCTTCAGGAAAAAAATCGAACAAAGCAGCCAGGAATCATAAACACATTAAGAATATTTTTGTAACATTATGTTTACAGTAAAGTCTTTGAAGTCTCTGGAGTGTGTTGATACCAAGCATAAATATGCTGATGGACTATTGTAGGAAATATTTATCATGATATACATGGGATTTAATTTGTTTTTAACAGCACTCCTGTCCATAACTTGGAGTTCCTTTCAATGTATGTCATCTCTCTTTACACTCTAACGTGTGTTGCCATTTAGGATACGTGGCCTGAAGCCAGTAGAGTTGTGTGTCTGAAAACTGGTTTTAAATTTCTCGTCTTCAGGTTTGTGGGAGCTTTTTAACTATCAGGGAGACAGGACACTGAAGGTGCATGTGAATCTAAAAAGGGGATAGAGCACAAAGTAGTGCTCAGTCGTGCAACACTATACCACAGTACTGCAACAAAAATAGTCAAATAGCTCCCTTTACATCATACTTCACCCCTGCAATGAAAGGATTAACTAGAGTTGTAGCATTTGTTTAGGGTTGCCAGGCCTTTCTATGCTGTTATGGGTTTTTTTGGACCATTACTTGATGTAATGATTAAGTGCTGGATATGATGCCATAAATTGAAATGTACTGACTCTAACCACTCTGTGATCCTCCTAATAAATTCCTGGTTTAAGAACCAAGCAGACTTTTTGCTTTCTCTTTAGAATCTCAAAAGCACTGACAAAATTACCCAAGTATTTAACTGTATAAACTTGTCTTACCACAGGGGAGCGCTGTCACTGGATTTGTATCCTGAAGAATGATCACCGAATACAACAGTTACAGTATGTGAAAGCTCAGTGCAATTGTGTGAAACCATGGACATGCCAGGTGGTATAGTGGAAGGTGTACGCAGCCTGTACCCACCAAACAGCCATTGGAATATACAGGAGAGCATACACACGTCCTCCTCCGTAACCTACCCATCTACAGAGCAGTGCACAAAGCCTGTCAACTACCACTACACCACAGGCAATTGTGGGCTGTATTTTAAGTAATCTAACGCTTTATGATTGTTGATATGTCTTGAGAAAGATCTCTGTGACCCAAACATCAACTCTTAAAATTAATCGGGGGATTTATTTCTTTGCACCACAAAGGAGACAAAGCAACTGGTTTGCATGTTGCCTTCCACTTAACCTAAAACTCATAATACATACATTAAAAAAAAAACAATACGCAACAAGAAATACATGCAAACATGGCCACATTACATAACACTAAACTATAGTCCCAAACTTAATAGAGCATATGTATGCAAAGGTATTTCTAACAGGATCACTTTATTAACTTCAGTGTAAAACAGTAGATAAGATGAGTTTCATGAGGCTTTATTAGGCATAGAAATCAGCGACAATGACAAAGCCATAACTGTCTCCTGAAACATGATATAAGAATAATATGTCATTACATTTTTTGCAAAGTACAGCACACAAATTATGAATGAATCTCTTCATCATTATTCCACCAGGGTTTTTTTCATGTAAGTCTTTCATTAGGATGATACTAATAATCTTTTTTTTCTCCCAAAAGTCACAGTTAAGATGGTTTACACAATTAAGACTTGCATTTTAATTTACTAGTACCAGCACTGTGTGTAAATTACCATAACAAACACTATATTAGATTCTCCGGACTGCAATTTTAAACACTCTCCACTCTCTTGCTTCACTCCCTCCTCCTCACCCGATGAGAGGTTTCCCTTGGTGAGGACATCAGGCCCGAGGCTCTGAAGTTCACTCTGACTGGCTTGCTGCTGTCCAGCGTTAAGGCAGTCACTTTCTGTTTATCCACTTCAGTCGTCACCCTCCCTAGCATGACTGGCTGTAGTTCTGTGGACCCAAAGGTGGCTGTGGCATGGTGTAGGTGACTGCCGGTGTTAAACAAAGGCAGCCGGTGCTCTGTCATGCCTCTGCTGGTGCTGCCCAGCTTCAGTATCTGGCTGGGACTCCTCTCCACCATGAAGTGGGTCACCTGTTGCTGCTTGTAACTCTCTCTACGAACGCTGTCTGTCTCTGACAGAGTCAGCCTGAAACACAACATACACATAAGATATATGCTTTTTACAAGTACAAGTACAGTGGTGCTGTGATCATCATATCTCTTTTGAATTATTTTTAAATCACTTAGAGACTTAAGGCTAAAGCCGTACTTTTAAGAGCTCAAGAGGGCTGCTGCTTCACCGCTCTTGGTTAGTTGAAACTTTAAACTGATCATATTATAGATGTTTTCCTTTAACAGTTACAGACAGCACCAATCAGGATGAGGGCCTATTATATCAGTGTGGATTTTACCCTCTAAGTCAAAACACAGCATGTGTATGTCATGTGTTTACAGTAGAAACATAGTGAGAACATGGGCTGCTCCGCTGCCCTTGAACCTGCTGCTTGTCACAACATACTGAGCGCTACAGTATATTGGAAATACTAGACAAAGTTAACACTGGCATAACAGAAAAAATACATCAGAAAACACGACATGTATTGACAATGATTCATACAAAACTTTATCTAGAATAATGCAGCATTTCAAGTGAGAGCCACTTACTTGAATTGTGGTCTCGTTTCGATGACCAGGCTCAGCCAACATGCTTCATAGCTCTCCTTCTTCCACTGGTTCTCCTCCTGGAGATCACAGAAGGAGTTCACCAGGTAGCAGCCTCCTCTGCTCACACAGTGCATGATGGTGTGATTGTGTTGAGAGTGTGAATATCAGCAACTTCCATGAAAAAAAGGAACCTGTGCCAAGACAAATGTTCAGAAAACTCAAGGGAGAACACAAGCGATCAAATCATCTGTCATCATCGATGTGCGTATCTCTCTATCTGTGTGTGTGCCAAGTAGTCTGAGATGTGAGTGTGTTTGGCAATGTCTTAAATATCCAGTCTTGTTTCTATTTTTACTCCCGTGCATCACTTTGTGGTGAATGTAGTGAATGTCCTCACTCCAGGCATCCTGAAGGTTGGTTTTCATTTGAAAATGAGAGTTAGCTGTTTCCATGACACGAGTCAACCAGATGAACCCAGAGGAAACTCCCACCAGATACATTTATCTAACTGATCTGTGTTAAGAGAAGTCATCTGAAATGATTAAATGATAGAAACAATATCAACTTGTACAATTTACCCCAGTGTACCATTTAATTATTTGTAGCATGGTGTTGGTTTGATCCTGCGAGTGTTGGTCTGGGGAAATGTATACATCTATGAGTGTGTGTGTGCATATACATTTTTCCCAGTTCTTTTTTGTACACACACAGAATAGACATACCGCTAAGAACAAGGACAAGGTAGGCATGAGCACTTGATTACCATAGATAGATAGATTGATAGATAGATAGATAGGTGAGAAAAATCACTATAAATGACTAATCTGCTGTGAATGACGTGGCTCCAGGCGTCATCCCATCAGGTCCAAGAAATTATCCCCTAACTCCTCAGATGTCTCTCACATAGACCACGTGCTGCAGGAAACAGCTGTGAGCAATAAGATCACTCACTTGACAGTCATAATCCACCTCATTAATCCAAAGCCAGGCCAGTTCTCCGGCTAAAATCAAATTATACACTGCAAAATTCCTGTTGGTGACTCACTGATTGTTATAAAAAAGTTCTCTGGCACCATCGTGACCGTCCATTTGTGAATGTTTTACTCTCATCTGGATCTCATTAGTCCATCTATACTCTCTGTGAATGTGGAATAATGAGAGTTCAACAGCTGTGCCTCCAGTATTTTTTCATTTCACTTTTAATGGATGGATGTGAGAATCGTTTTTCAGGCAGGTGTGAGACATCTGTACATGTAACACCTTACAAAGTAATTTGATTCCACGTGACATTTCTGACCTTTTAATTACTTAATGATTTCTTTAGTTTATTCACATCTTGAAGATGTAAATATTAAATATTCTGACAGTGATGACAGAGTCATAACTTGATTACTCCCGCTCTCTGGAGGACGCTGGCAAACCCAGTTAAATCAAAGTGTGAGGGTGAAACTGAATCAGTGTATGATGGTGTGACTGCGGCCGTGGAATGTATGCTGGACTCATCCCAGCAAAAACAATCTGTTCCCGCAACACAAGAGCCAGTATTAGATAACTAACTTTGATGCTGAATCACCACTAACAGGCGTTACTGTGGCAACACAAACATACATTCATAAACAAAAACAGGCATCTCTTCAAGTTTGGAGGTGGCAAGTAGTTTTCCTTCAGGAGAAGGTAATCTTACAGCCAAGTCATTAACATAGAATGAATATTAGGACTATTTAATATGAGCAGGAATATTATTGTGACACTACGTACAGTTTTTATGAATCAGCTGCACAGATTTTACAGACATCAGACTCCCCGTAGGTTCTTCATCTTTAATTGTCATTACATTTCAGTTTATTAGTACCAGTAAATTAAGTTTGACAGCCCAGCTAACCACAATTAGTGGTCTTAATAAGAGGTCAAAGAAAATGTTAACACTACTAATCCCCTTGTATTATGCCAACAACAGAGCACAGACCATACAAACTATTTCACTGTTTCTTACTTTATCATTAAGCATTCATTCACCTTTAATAAAAAATAAACTAATATAGGGGTGCCCATTAACCCAGTGAGTAGAGCACTTGCCCCATGTACAAAGGCAATGTCCTTGCCACATCAGCTGTGGGCACGATTCCAGCCCATGGCCTTCTCTCTCCCCTTTCACACCTCCAACTGTCCTGTCATTAAAGGCCAAAAAGTAATCTTTAAAATAAAAATTATGTAATCATTGCCTTGTACACTGCATGGTCTCATTTATTTTTAAATGGTGAACAAAGCAGATACATTAAAATTATTTTTTCAAATAATGAATTTATTCTCAAACATTCAAATATACAGTAAATATCTCAGATGAAAATATGAAATATAGCAGTTGAAGCATGACAAAACATCTGATGCTTTAAACTCCAATGACCTTGAGGCTGCCCTAAACACACACATCAATCGGTATGTTCACAGAGATCAGTGAACAGGTATGTCTGATGTGCCAGCATTTATCAGGGCTCCTGATGTCAGTGCTGATCAATCGTTTTATGGAAGTTGTTTGTGGAAACAAAACTAACACATCAGCCTTCTTCATTTAACGAACAACAGACTGGACAAATAAACGCTGTTTGTTACATTATGTAAAGAATCAGTTGGCGTCTGACCAGACTTGTGTCAAGCTCAAAGTATGCATCACACACAGTGTTAATATCCCAGCATCAATAGCTGAACCAGTACGGCCTCTTCCTGGGCATCTCCACTATCCTCTTGTCCTTGTCCTGCTGATTTGGTGTTTCACCGTCATACAGGATGACAGTCTCCACAGTCGGGGCTCCCAGCGGGCCGCCTTCCATCGTTTTTATCTGATAACGAATCTTAGCTGTCTCCTTGCACACCTTGGCGTAACAGAAGGCACACAAGATGTGTTTCTGCTTCAAATGGCCACACTCTGGGCACGGCTCAATGCTGGTCTGAGAGACAGAGAGACAAAGAAGCTGTGAGTCAAACTATGGCACAGCAAAACTATTTCAGACTCATCTTTTAACATATTCTGTAATAAAATTTCTTGTTACATTCATTGCTGATATCTGTGTGATCAGATGATGAGCAGCTACTTTCAATTGGAAAATCAGCATGCCTCTGTTGAAGATGTTCACATTAACTCAGCTTAGATTTGTTGCAAGATGTACTATCTTTACTGAAAATGATCAGGGTCAGATTTAAATCGATTTTAAATGATGTCAATCAAATTTGTACACTGGGAAAAAAAAATCATTATACAGAATATGAAATATTCAATCTCTTCCGGGATTTTAAGCGACTTGTACCCCTTGTAACAAAACACATGTCCTTACATGCTGAGATATACAATTCTTGAACAACCTCAGCATAAAGTAGTTTTACAATGGCGTGCAAATTATTGTGACTGATTAGATGTATACTGATACCATTTTTATAAATTGATCTACTTACTGAAAAAAATCTTATGCTGGCTGTACATACTGCTGATGAACATTAGTCACCCTGTATCTAATATGAATTAAATAACACTTAAGTGTCCATCAGTCACATTAAACTACAGGGAATCCTAAAAATAACAGCCAATGAGTTGCATTCAGACTTTTTGTTCTTTGTTGACAGTGAAGAATCTTCACAGTTGATCTGTAATGTATATAGATGCTATTAGAAGTCCCATAAATTGTGGTAACTATATTAAAAATGACAATGTATACATTTGTTGGCTCTGGTTATTTGTTGTTAAGCTGTTGGTGCAACAACTTTTATCTGAGTTAACATTGTATTATTATATATTTTCAAAGAAAATGTTCTGCTGAGTTTTGTAAATGTATTTTTTTTTTAAGATTTACATGCCATGAACCAAAGACTACTGATCTTAAATGTACAGGGTTGGATTACAGCTGATATCTCCAAACCTTTACTAATCACTCCTAATCAGTGCAGATAATAGGGAGCTCTCTACGTATGCCAACATTTTGTTACAGTTGCGTTTTGGGGTGAAATGACAGGTTAAAAAGATCCAAAGTGTACCTTGACTTTTATGAGTTTCTCAACAGCTCTCCTCCTGGTGCGGTTGACCTCTATGGTGCGTCTCTTCTTTGGTGCAGCCATCCACAGGATGCTGTCCATGAGGCCAGGAGGCTGCTCCGGGCTCTGCTGCTCCTCCAGCTCATCCTCCCTGTGGAGCTGAGGCAGGAGGCTGGGACCGTTCACTGCCAATGCTGGAGCTGCACACAGGAAATAACAGTTACAGTCCCTGCTTATCATCACTGCAACCCGAGTCATCAGTGTGAACAGAAAAGGGAATGTAGAGAGATGGTAGTAAACGGCAGCGAGGTTAAATGTAAGATGAACTGAAAGTGAAATTAAAAGAAAAACAAATGGATACAATACGTGTGTGTGTGTGTGTATGTGTGTGTGTGTGTGTGTGTGTGTATGTGTGTTAGTCAGGTACAGAGCTTGTATCATTAGCAGTAGCAGTAGCTACCTAGCTACCGTCCTGAGCTCAGTGAACTCACCCAGCTGTGTGTCCAGTCCGGCCGCCTGCAGGAGTCTCCTCTCAATGTGTAACAAAGAGCACCTGAGGCTGTGAACTAACGCAGATAAATTCATCATATTTGTTGCCAGCACGTTACTTTTCCGTCCAAACTACTACATCCATGCGTCCAACATGTCAAATAGCTCACGGTCACAGAGCGGAAGATTACTACGTCATCAAACAGCGACAACACATTATACTTGTTCTTCTGTTTAATTTCCGGCAAGATGCATCAAGGCCTATTACTGCCATCTAGCGGTCAATGTGACCAACTTCACTCTCCAGTGTTTTAAGAACAGGATGTACTATTATAGATTACAGTAACTCATCTCCAAACTAAGCCGATCATGTCCTCTCTGAGCGCTCATTCCTGCCATAATTATCTTAACTAAATTACTTTATCATACTTTGATTGTGAAACATACTGATCATGAATTAATCTACTATAAAACGTCCATTAGTAGCCCAGGCTTTTATTTGCTTAAATCACTGACACCAATGGGCCTATATTTGGAACATGCCTCATTATGGGACAGACTTTGACTTCCTTTCACACGAAATTGTTGCTCAGCAAAGATCAGGAAATACAATCAAATTGTTTTAAAAAAACAGTATGAATATTACTTGTATAAAAATAAAGCTTCAGCTAATATATCAGTTATGAATTATTACTTGGATCTAGCTCCGACAGACAGAGCATCAGAGAGAGTGAGTTAGACACTCCAGGATTATGGCACTTGGAGTACCGACACAACATAATTT